GTTAAAATATTTCCAAAAAAACGTGTTTTAGCAACGTTTTTCAACGTTTTGCGATTGTTTATTTTCTAATTGTTCAAAAATTTCAAAATTTCAATAATTTGATATATTTCAATTCAGAAAACGTTGTTTAAACGTTGAAATATTTCCAAAAAAGCGTGTTTTTGCAACGTTTTTCAACGTTTTGCGATTGTTTATATTCTAATTTTTCAAAATTTCAATAATTTGATATATTTCAATTCAGAAAACGTTGTTTAAACGTTGAAATATTTCCAAAAATAGCGTGTTTTTCAACGTTTTGCTATTGTTTATATGCTATTTGTTCAAAAATTTCAAAATTTTAATTGTATGATATATTTTAATTCAGAAAACGTTGTTTAAACGTTAAAATATTTCCAAAAAAGCGTGTCTTTGCAACGTTTTTCAACGTTTTGCTGTTGTTTATATGCTATTTTTTCAAAAATTTCAAAATTTTAATAATTTGATATATTTTAATTCAGAAAACGTTGTTTAAACGTTAAAATATTTCCAAAAAAACGTGTTTTTACAACGTTTTTCTAATGTTAATATTTTTATTGTTTAAAATTTTTTCATTTTTTGTAATTTAATTTATTTTAACGCAGAAAATGCTGTTAAAACGTTGAATAATTTCTAAAAAAAACGCTTTTTTAAATGTATCATTTTATTACTTTATTTTACAAATTATTTCGTTTCTATATTTTTAAAATTCAAAACCTTTGTTATAAAAAAGAAATTACAGGCATATTTATGAGAATATGCGAAAAAAGGGGGATTTTTTTTTTTTAATTAGAAAAGTCTTGTACATTTAGGAAAAATATGAATTTCTAATCGCATTATTATTATAACTTTGCACGCACAATAAATATCAGCGATTAATTATTCATCGCTTAATTAAAAGTTTAAGTATACTATATTTATATAACTACAATTAAATCGAAATCTTTTTCTTATATTCACAAACTTTGCAGTTAAAAAAAAAATGGAAACAAAAAAAAATATATTGTTTTCTTCGTAATAATATTGTTGCTTCGCAAATATTTCATGAAAAAGAAAAAAAATTAAATAAAATAAGGAAACGACAGTTTTTTTGAAAAAAAGTGCAAACAAGAAAATAGTAAATATTATTTTCTTGTTTTTCTTGTTTTTGAAAGAAAAAAAAAAAAAAACGAAAAGAAATTTTTGATGTCGACTAAAAGAGCGTTTCCTACGATTATACGCTGTAAAAAAAATTTAATAATTATATATAATATATAAATATATATATATAAAAAAAATTAATAACTCCGATCGATTTAGTGGCTCGATTAAACGAATCATCTAGATTATATCGAATTGTACATTGACTCTGATAATAAGTCGATTTAATAAAAATGCTGGTTTCTGTTTTAAAAACAGTACCATTGCCACAGAAAAAATCATATTTTTCTTGAAAATTTATTGAATCTCTTTCTTTTTTATTTAAACAAAAAATTAAAAATAATTTTAATTATTTTTTTTATTTTCTATAAATAAATAAAAAAAAAATAACAATTTTATATTTTTAATTTCTTTTTAATTTTTACTAGTTACCTACTTTTGTTATTTAATTTTTTTTTTAAATTTAACTAGAATTATTAATTAAAACTATAATAATAAAAATTGAAAATAAAAAAATTTTGTATTAATCGGCTGGGTCTTTATTTGTTTTTTTTTCAGATTGAAGCTGACTGGCGGCAAAAGTGGAAAAAAAAGTTTCGTGTTCCTATTCTATTTTCTTAAAATCGCGAGTTTGGGGTGTTTTTTTTTAAATATTAAAATTAAAAAAATTTTTTTTTTCGGTAGTGTTTAAATTTACTTTAACTCTTTGAGATTCAAATTTTTTTCTTTAAAAAACATTTTTTTAATTTTAAGTATTTATTCATTATTTTGACACAAATTTAAATTATCAAAATAGGTTATATTTTTTTTAACAAAAAAAAAAAAATTTTGGTTCTAAAAGGGTTAAATAATTTAAAATATATGAAACGACGCGAAGAAAGGGACCTTAGAAGCAAACGAATTATATAGGTTATGTTAACGACAGTTTTACATTAATTAAAATTTTTTTTCGTTTCTGTAACATCAAATTCAGTTTTTATTGATTATTTTAGATATAATGAAGAAAAATAATTGGTTTGCATTAAAAATTAATCCTCTTTGTATATTTTTACTTTGAAATTTCAAAACATAATCTATATAATTTTTTGCTTCTTTGGTCCCTTTTTTCGCGACGCGTCACATATTTTTATTTTTCATATTTTTTTTGTGCCGGAAGTGTTCGAATTTTTTTTTAAATCGCTTGTGAGTGTTTTTTTTTCTTAAAATGTAGAAAATTTATGGAGAATGCAGCTCCAGGATGGAGATCGGTCATGGATAATTTGAATTTAAGGTAAGATTTCATTTCAATTTTTTTATTAATAATATTTTTTAGTAACTAATTTATTGCATAAAAAAACGTTTTTTTGTAATTTGAGAATTATTTTCAAACTAGCGATGTATTCCTTGCTCGCTAACGCTCGCTCGGTTAAAATTGTACTTATTGTTGTTTACTAATTGTAGTTTATGTATATTATATATATAATTTATGTTTTAAATTAATATCTTATTAATATTGTATAAAATTTATGTTAAAATTGAAAGAAGATGTTACATAAAAATAGTTTGTAAATTTTTCTAAAAGCATATATGCAAAGTATTTTGATTTATTTGAAAATAATTGAAAATAGATTTTTCAAGGACGGTGTCGAGGTCACGGGGTCGATGTCGTTTTTCGAAATTTGTTAACTTAATATAATAGAAGATGTTTCGTTTTAAATTAAGAAATGTTAAAATTATTAAGTTAAAAACATTTGATTTTAATGACACTTAAAATTAGACACAATATTATAGGTTACAAACTAAAAATTGAAAAACAACAATAAATAATAAAAAATAATAAAAAATTGAAAAAATCAAAAAATTCTTAAAAAATTGCAAAATAACCCTTTTTCGGGTTAAAATTGAAAAAAGATGTTACATAAAAATAGTTTGTAAGATTTTCTAAAAGCATATATGCAAAGTATTTTGATTTATTTGAAAATAATTGAAAATAGATTTTTAAAGGACGGTGTCGAGGTCACGGGGTCGGTGTCGTTTTTCGAAATTTGTTAACTTAATATAATAGAAGATGTTTCGTTTTAAATTAAGAAATGTTAAAATTATTATGTTAAAAACATTTGATTTTAATGACACTTAAAATTAGACACAATATTATAGGTTACTAACTAAAAATTGAAAAACAACAATAAATAATAAAAAATAATAAAAAATTGAAAAAATCAAAAAATTCTTAAAAAATTGCAAAATAACCCTTTTTCGGGTTAAAATTGAAAAAAGATGTTACATAAAAATAGTTTGTAAGATTTTCTAAAAGCATATATGCAAAGTATTTTGATTTATTTGAAAATAATTGAAAATAGATTTTTAAAGGACGGTGTCGAGGTCACGGGGTCGGTGTCGTTTTTCGAAATTTGTTAACTTAATATAATAGAAGATGTTTCGTTTTAAATTAAGAAATGTTAAAATTATTATGTTAAAAACATTTGATTTTAATGACACTTAAAATTAGACACAATATTATAGGTTACTAACTAAAAATTGAAAAAACAACAATAAATAATAAAAAATAATAAAAAATTGAAAAAATCAAAAAATTCTTAAAAAATTGCAAAATAACCATTTTTCGGGTTAAAATTGAAAAAAGATGTTACATAAAAATAGTTTGTAAGATTTTCTAAAAGCATATATGCAAAGTATTTTGATTTATTTGAAAATAATTGAAAATAGATTTTTCAAGGACGGTGTCGAGGTCACGGGGTCGGTGTCGTTTTTCGAAATTTGTTAACTTAATATATTAATTTCAAATGGTTTCAAAATTATAAGCCAAAATAATTATTAAATAATTGCTACCTATACAGTAGCAGTTCCTATGGTACTACCAAGGCGCCTGTAAATATACTTCCCGTTGTACTCCCTGCTCCATCGGGTTGCATAGCAACAGGAGCTAATTTCCTTTTTTTTAAAAAACGTTTTGTAATAACGAAATAGTAAAAAAAAAAAAAACTTTAAAAATTTACAAAATAAATAATGGTTTAATAAATTTTGATTTAAAAATTATTTTATTTTTTTCCAAGATAATTATAAAATGTTTAATTTGAAACAAGAAATTTTGTTTGGAAAAATGTAATTTATAGATAATAATATAAATTTTTTTTTAATTATAATTTTATATTTTGTCGCAAAATAATTTTTAGGAAGAAAAGAAATTTTTTAAAACATTATTTTTAATTTTTGTATTTATATTTTTATTTACTATAATTACATTAATTTTTGTACAAACTAAAATATACATTAAATGTAATTTTTTGGTTGAACTGTAACTTCTGAAAAATCGATCCAATGACCATATATATATATATTTAGTATAACTATATTTACAAAAATTCCCTTAAAAATATATAAGTAAATTGAAAACATTTGAAAAATTCTGTACAAAATTTTTTTTTTTTCTTAAACAGTTGCCAGCAATCTGCTAAAATTTAGCAAACATTTTCATTCATTAAAAAAAAAATCAATCATTCCATGACAATTTTCTATTTACAATTTTAAATGTCGTTTTTTTAAATAATAATTAATTAATATGTACAATTTTTCCTATTACTACTATAAAATGAAAAAAAAATAGAAAAATATTCTATTTGAAGAAATAGAAAATTTTTTAAATCACTGGATTTGTCCCAGATTTGAAAAAGCAAATCTTTTTTTTTTTTTTTTTAATTTATCATTTACTAATTTTATTTCTTTTATTTTAAAACTATTATTAAAACGAAAAATCTAATTTTAACTTCTGAATTTATCGTTTAGAAAAAAACAATTTTCAAAAATTTTCATATTTACAAAAAAAAATTTTCTACCCTATAATTTTATTTCGATTTAAAAATTAATCGACATCAGTACTGGCGTTAAAAACGATTTTAAAAATCATCTATTTTTAATATTATCACTTAAATCATTTTTAAAAACGCAAAATTTTCGACGTTAATTATTTTTTTAATATCGACAATTTAAAATCTATAGAAACTTAAAAGAAAACGATAATTTTAAATTCGAAATATTTAAAATTGATATATCAATAACTGTTAACACAAAATATCGATATACACAATTACATTTAATCGATATTTTGAATATCGTGTTAAAATTAATTTTTTCATCGTTATTTTAAAACTAAGAGATAAAAGTTTATTTAGAAGAAAAAAAAATAAGGCGGGGCATCGCGTGGTAAAAAAAATTCAAAAAAATAGGCGTGGCTTCTCTCTGGTGGGAGTAAAGTAGGCGGGGTCTACAGAAAAAGTTAGAGACAAAGGCGTGTCTCTTTCATCAGATGGGAGTTAGAAAAGGCGTGGCCTAAAATAAAGTGGGCGAAAAGATAGGCGTGTTTATTCATAGTAGTTGGATTAAAAAAAAGAGGAGGAATATTTCATAAATAGGCGTGGCCTAAAATAATGTGGGCGGAAAAATAGGCGTATTCATTTATGATAGGTGGATCCAAACAAGGAGAATAGGATGGTTATTTTATAAATAGAAAATAAAGTGAGAAAAAGAGGCGTGGCTTAATAGAAAGCGGAGAAATAGGCATGTTCATCTGTAGTAGGCGGAGCCAAGCATTGAGAGAAGAATAGTTTGTTTTTTTAAATAGGCGTGACTTAAAAATAAAAGTAAAAAAAGGCGTGGCTTAATATAAAGTGGGCGGAGAAATATGCGTGTTCATCTGTAGTAGGCGGAGCCAAAGAGAAGAATTGTACTTTTATAAATAGGCGTGGCTTAATAATAAAGTAAGATGAGAAATGGGCGTGCCCTTATATGAAGTAGGAGGAGAAATAGGCGTGGCTTAATACAAAATGGGAGTTAAGTAGGTGGAGCCAGTAGGCGTGTCCATTCACAAATTTAAAAAAAAAGTAAAATCAAATAAATATTTTAAAAATACATTACAACAAATCTAAATAGTAAAAATTTTAATAATCTACTTATGGAAGACAAGTATTTTCAAAAAAAATTTCCCTAATCAGAGAAAACTGGTATAAATATGGGCGTTACCACTTTTGAATCACTCTACCTTTTAGAGAGTTGGCGGGGTTTAAAAAAAATTAGCCAAAAAAAACTTATTTACAATCCCAAATGCATTATATACATTTTTCAATTAATACCAACTATAAAAAGGTTGATGTGGTGTGGGTCTTGGTGGTTGTTGAAAACTTTGACTCGCATAATGACTGCTGAATTGATGCGGGTGTGTTGTATGCGAATGTTGTTGAATATTACCCGGTGGTGTTGGTAGTCCAACTCGATTACCACTATTACTGATTGGTGGTAAATTCCATGGTGGTGAGGAATTACCTTGACTCGATGGTTGTTGTTGTTGTTGTTGTTGTTGATGATGATGATGATGATTAACAGGTGAGACAGAAGAAATTGGAAGATCACTCGATGATGTTAAATGCTCTGATCCTGGATTTGAATTTGAACCCATCATTGTGACAAGTGAATTGGGAGTTGGTGGCAATTGATGAGCAGTGTTTTGTTGATAGGTTGATGAATGCACTGGTGATAGTTGATGACTCATGTGTGTTGTTGCATTTGGCGATGAGGTAGGCGGTAGAAGTGTTGTTGGATAGCTTACGGACGGTGGAAGACTGTAAGTTGGAGTCGAGCAAACGGACGATGCAAGGCGACTTGTGTCGGCGGTTAATTGATGTGGTATCGTTGAATGATGAGAGGGATATAAATCTGAAAAATGGAGAAAAAAAAATTTTTGTTAAATTAAGCCTCCTCATATTCCGCCTGTGTGACAAACGGTTTTCTCTAAGGTTATAGAGTAGATGCCAAGTGGAGATTTTAAAGATTTTAAAGGGAGGGATTTAAGGGGTTGGGGGATTTGGAATCTTGATGGGGATCCAAAGGAAGCGGGGCTTAAGGAAGAGGATCAGAAGGAAGTGCCAAAGGAAGGGAATCCAAAAGTAGAAGATCTAAAGTTAGGGAATTAGAAGGAAGAGGTTCCAAAGGAAACAGGTCCCAAGGAATAGGAACAGAAGGAGGAAGTATCAAAGGAAGGGAATCCAAAAATAGAAGGTTTAAAGTTAGGAAATCAACCAAAGGAAGGGAATCCAAAAGTAGAGGGTCTAAAGTTAGGGAATCAGAAGAAAGAGCTGAAGAGGATTAGGAAGATGATTTAAGGAGTTGGATCAGAAGGAAGAGGATCTGGTACAAGACGTTCCAGAGGAAGAGGATTCAAAGGAACAGGATCAAGAGTTTCAAAGGAAGGGGATCAGATGCAAAAGGTACCAAAGGAAGAGGATCCAAAAGATCAGAAGGAACAGGATTAGAAGAGGTGTAAGGGATCAGGAGAGAGATCCTTAGGTAGAGGATTAGGAATAAAATTCAAATAAAGGCATCAAAAGGAAGAGCTTCAATAGAACAAAGAGAAGATTCCCCAAAATTAAAAAAAAAACCCTCCGAAAAAATGGAATCGAATATTTTTTGGCTTTCTAATAAAGTCCAAGAGAGAGAGGGATACGTGTCGTCAATTAATGATGCCGGTGTGTTTCCATGATCGAAATTTCCCTTCAAGCGGAAATTGCATAAGTGACTCAGCACATTTGACACAACACCGGTTCGAGGATGGTGTTTCTTGCATGCGGCTTTAAAACCGGTATACACATTGTAACGCTCATAAAATGACTAGCCCGATTGTTTCGATATCCCGTAGTGCCGAGAACGGCTTCCGGTAATTGTCCATCAAGTTTGCTCCTGTTTTAAACAAAACTTTCACAAAACCATTCAAGGACAATTTAAAATCTATTTAGAATGATTTTTGTTTCTCTCTCTCTCTCTCTATCAAGGACATTTATATTCAATTAGAAGTTAAATAGAATAATAATAATAATAATAATAATAGAAAATCAACTTACCGGGACTTGAGGAGAATACTGGATCTGGAAGACTTTGTCCATGATGTGGATGTGAATGTGTTGGTGGTAATGAAGCGCCAGAATGTGAATGTGGCGCTGCTGGTGGTGGATGAAGAACATAAGGTGTTGCTGAATAGGGAACTGAACTAACATAGCCACTTGATGTTGTCGATGATAATTGTTTGCGTAGTCTTGCTCTACGATTGCTGAACCATACTTGAATGCGAGCCTCAGTTAATTTTGTACGTTGTGCTAATTCTTCTCTTGTATAAATATCAGGATATTGTGTTCTTTCAAAAGCCCTTTCCAATTCATCTAATTGATGTGCTGTAAATGTTGTACGACTACGACGTTGTTTGCGCTTCAATGGAATTCCCGGTTCACTCTCACAATCGGATCCTGAACTTGTCTTTCCTAAAATTAATTATTAATTAGTTGTTTTTGATTTTAGTGATTTTTATTCACTAAAGAAATTTTCCTTTAGGATTTTTCAAAAATTATGTTTATAGGGATTTCCAAAAATTAATTTTCGCTTTTGGGTTTCTTCCAATATTAATAGTCTCTAAATTTTTTTTGGAAGTTTAATAACTCTTTGGGCTTGTTTAGAATAGCTTAAAATTTAATTTTAAAAGTCATTAGTTTAATTTAATTTACTATAAGGCACGTGTCCAATGCACACGTGATTTTTGAAGTTTGTTTCGGCAAAAAAAAGGGCTGAGAAAAAGAGAAGATAAAAACAAAAAAATTCAAGTCTACCGCAAATTAGTTGCAATCATTCATTCCGAGACTAATAAAAGGTTATGGAAAGTTGGAATTACTGGCCGGGGCATCGAGAACGTTTAAGCTACCGAAAGATATATAATTTTCTGTTTGATTTCCGAAGAAGCTATATAAAAGTAATCCACGTGTATATATTTATGAATCGAAACTTTTAATTTCGATGAAAAAATTCACTCAATTTTGAATCGCGCCCACCATTTAATTAATTTATCTCTTAATTTTTCTTTAAATTAGAAATTAGTAGTATTTTTTGTAATATTTTTAAAATCTTTTGCATCAATTTTATGGATGCGCAAATAAAAAATTATAAAATACAATTTTTTTAAATAATTTCGAATAAAATCAAAATTTTAATTATAAAAAAAGTGGAGGAAAATGTAAAGATTAATTTGTGTTATAAATTTTTTTGTAGACTAGAAAAAATGGTTTTCTCAAACGTATATGTGTGTGTGTGATACTTAACGCCCCGCGGTTATTTAAATGAATTCTCTTTTTAAAGTCCTTTCAGTGTTTTATTTTTTTTTTTTTATATAGAAGGTCGGCAACCTCACAGAACTATCGTCTTACTGAAGGAGTTCCCCCGCTCTTTTTCTTGCTTCTTAGGACCTTTCATCTTTGCCGACTAGCTACCCTCAAATGGTCTTACGATGAGCCCTCGTGGGTACACATTTCATTTGTCATGTCATGTGGTCTCTCTCTCTCTCTTTCTCAATCTTATAATTTGACTTTGATTATAAAAATATAATTAACAAATCATAGAATGAATACCAATATAGAAAACATGATTTACTCGATTGAAATTTTAGAAATCTTCTTAAGAGGTTATGCAAGGAGGACTGTAGAAATTATTTATTTTTGCTTATAGTTTGTAAAAAAAAATTGTATTTTTGTTATAATTTTCACGAAGAAAAATTTTTTTGAAGGTGGAAAATCAATATATTTCTACAGTAGAGGTGAAAAATTATTTTGAAGGTGGAAAATATTCTTAAAAGGTTGAAAATTATTTCAAAGGTGGAAAATTTATGCTGTTGAAGGGAAAATTAGGTGGAAAATTATCTCGAAAGGTGGTTAGAATTTTCACGAAAAATAATTTTTGAAGGTGGAAAATCAATATATTTCTACAGTAGAGGTGAAAAATTATTTTGAAGGTGGAAAATTTATGTTGTTCAAGGGAAAATTATTCTAATAGTGGAAAAATTTTCCAAAAAAATATGAAAAATTATTTTGTAGGTGGAAAATTATTTTCAGAATTAATTTTCAAAGGTGGAAAATTATTTTGCAGGTTAAATTATTTTCAAAGGTGGAAAATTAAAACGATGTGGAGAAAAAAAAGTAGCTTGAAGGTGGAAAATTATAACGTAGAAGGAAATGTTGATATCTTATAAAAGGTGGAAAATTAACTTGTAGGTCGAAAATGATTTTAAATTTCGCAGGTGGAAAATTATTTCATACAAAGGGAATTTTTCTTCGATGGAAAATTGTCTTGGAAGTAGAAAATAATTTTGAAGGTGGAAAAATTTGTACCAAAGTGGTAAATTATTTTATAGATGAAAAATAAATTTAAAAGTGGAAAATTTTTTAGAAGAAAAAAATTATTTTTCAAAAAAGTTGAAAAAATTGTAAAAACGAGTAAAAAATTTTTTTTTTGTTTTAATAAAAAAAAGCATTGTCAATTTTCTCCTTTGGACCACCAAGGAGCAATAACTTTCCCCGATTATCGACTGGCCTCGACAAGCTGGAAATCGACGAATGAATATATTAAATGCGTGTATTAATCACTCGTGTTCCCTCTGCGCTCTTTGGAAATTGCCGGCTTTGCCATATAAAAGCTGCAACGCTACTCAGTAGCACCTACGATCAAAGCAGGCTCTGTAATTTTCATGCCGCGCACACCTCACTCTCAGGTGCATATATATGCGGATATTCAACGCTTCGTATTTGAACGCCTAAAGAATAATGCTTTATATAATATACTCAATGTATAATATATATATATATACTTTTGCGTCAAGAAAAAATAAATATAGTCCCCCCTCTTTGTGATGTTTTGTGTATTAAGGAAAATTTTCTTGTAATTTTCAAAAAAAAAAACTACATATTTTAAAAGTGCGGAAAATTTAAGGAAAAACGAAAATTGCAGGTTGAAAAATTATTTTGAAGGTGGGAAATCTTGTAGATGTAAATTTTTTAAAAGTAGAAAATAATTTTGAAGGTGGGAAAATTTGTATCAAGGTGGAAAACTATTTTGTAGGTTGAAGAATTTTTTCCTAGACAATGAAAGTGGAAAAATTCGTATCAAGGTGGAAAATTATTTGGAAAGTTAATTATTCTGTAAGTGGAAAATTACATTAAAGATAAAAAATATCTTCTAGGTGGAAATTTTTTTTTTTCTTTAAAAGTAGAAAATAACTTTTAAGGTAGGAAAATTTGTATCAAGGTGGAAAACTATTTTGTAGGTTGGAAAATTTTTCTCCTAAACAATGAAATTGGAAAAATCGTATTTAAGGTGGAAAAATTCGTATCAAGGTGGAAATTTTTTTTCTTTAAAAGTAGAAAATAACTTTTAAGGTAGGAAAATTTGTATCAAGGTGGAAAATTATTTTGTAGGTTGGAAAATTTTCTCCTAAGCAATGAAAGTGGAAAAATCGTATTTAAGGTGAAAAAATTTGTATCAAGGTGTAAAATTATTTCGAAAGTTAATTATTCCATTAGTGGAAAATTACATTAAAAATAGAAAATATCTTCTAGGTGGAAAATTTTTTCTTTAAAAGCAGAAAATAACTTTGAAGGTAGGAAAATTTGTATCAAGGTGGAAAATTATTTTGTAGGTTGGAAAATTTTCTCCTAAGCAATGAAAGTAGAAAAATCGTATTTAAGGTGGAAAAATTCGTATCAAGGTGGAAAATTATTTGGAAAGTTAGTTATTCCATTAGTGAAAAATTACATTAAAGATAGAAAATATCTTCTAGGTGTAAAAATTTTTTCTTTAAAAGTAGAAAATAACTTTGAAGGTAGGAAAATTTGTATCAAGGTGGAAAATTATTTTTTAGGTTGGAAAATTTTCTCGTAAATAATGAAAGTGAAAAATTCGTATTATAGTGAAAAACGAGGTGGAAAATCATATTTTAGGTGTAAAATTCCCTAATGAAGGTGGAAAATTATCTCATAGGTTGTATTGAGATGGAAAAGTGAAAAATGTAAATTTTTTTTGAAATTTTTTTTTTTTTTTAACAACTCACCATCTCCAATTTTTGTTTCATCTTCAATGTCACGTCCCCGTAAAAGACGTGAAATAGCCGAAACACTTGGAGCACTTCCTCTATCGCACATTCCCTCTTTAATAAGTCTGTCTCTAATTTCCCATGAGAATGAACTTGGATTTTCTCGTTTATAATCTTCAATTCTCGATTCAACCTCAGGTGTTGCTACTCGTGGTTTACTTCCTCCAATAACACCAGGCCTAATACTTCCGGTTTCTTGATAGCGATTCAAAATTTTCGAAACACATCCATGTGATACTCTAAGTTGTCTGGAAATAAAAAAATAAATAAATTTTATTCAATATCCTTTTAAATTGTTTCTTTAATTATTAATTAAATAATTAATTATTATTATTAGTTAATTAAAAATTATAATTTCTTTTTTCTTACCTCGATATCACGCAAGGTCGAACGCCACTTCCGGCCATTTCGACAATTTGCTTTCTTATGTGATTTGGAAGGGGTCTTCCATTAATGAATACACCTCCTAATTGATTAACACGACCCTGTCCCGGTATCGATCCCAGATCTAATAGAAAAAAAAAAGAAAAGAAAATTTAATAAAAAATTTTTTGTTGTAAAAATTAGAATTTTTTTTTGTAAGCTAATAAAAGTATAATAATTTTGCATTTTAAAAAAAAAAGGAAAAAATGTTTCAAAGAAAAATAGACAAAATAAGGAGTAAAGAGGAGGTGGTGTGTGTGAGGGGTTTGGGGGGGGGGTGAAGTGAGAACAATAAATTTTGCGATCTAATGGTTTTTTTTTCTACTATAATCTAGCGGTTAACAAAATTGCCGCTACAAAACTAACGGGGAATTTATATCAGTTAGGCCTCGTCGTGAAACAATCTTATTTGCGAACTAAACTCTTGTCATATATATTTTCATATAATATATGTGTATATAAATACATAATTAAATAATAAATCAAAAATATCGAAATAAATTAAAACTATTGCAAACGATCGATAAATATAAAAAAATCGATTTATATCGCTATTTATCGATATGTATCGCAAAAATTGATATATCGCAGAAATCGATTTATATCGTAAAAATCGATATATCGCAGAAATCGATTTTATCGCTATTTATCCATATGTATCGCAGAAATCGATTTATGTCGCTATTTATCGATATGCATCGCAAAAATCGATTTATATCGTAAAAATCGATATATCGCAGAAATCGATTTATATCGCTATTTATCGATAAGTATAGCAAAAATCGATTTATATCGTAAAAATCGATATATCGCAGAAGTCGATTTATATCGCTATTAATCGATATGTATCGCAAAAATCGATTTATATCGTAAAAATCGATATATCGCAGAAATCGATTTATATCGCTATTTATCGATAAGTATAGCAAAAATCGATTTATATCGTAAAAATCGATATATCGCAGAAGTCGATTTATATCGCTATTAATCGATATGTATCGCAAAAATCGATTTATATCGTAAAAATCGATATATCGCAGAAATCGATTTATATCGCTATTTATCGATATGTATCGCAAAAATCGATATATCGCAGAAATCGATTTATATCGCTATTTATCGATATGTATCGCAAAAATCGATTTATATCGTAAAAATCGATATATCGCAGAAATCGATTTATATCGTAAAAATCGATATGTATCGCAAACATTGATTTATATCGTAAAAATTTATATATATCATAAAAATCTATATATATCGCTATTTATCGATGTGTATCGCAAAAATCGATAAATATAGATATAAATCGATATGTTTCGCAATTTTTCGATATATATCGTAAAAATCGATAAAAATAGCAAAAAAAAATCGATAAATATCGAAAAATTTGACAAAAAAAACTGCAAATTTGAATTTAAAATAACTGAAAACTGATAATTTTTTAAAAATATTTTTTAATTATACTTTTTTTTAAAAATCGCTTTCTCTCAAGTACGGCAAAAAAAAAATAAATAAACACACTGATTCTCATGGTTTTGATGAGGAAAGGGGAGGGAGGGGGGGGGGTGAGCAGACAATTTAGCAATAAAATTGGGAAATTATCGGATATCGTTTAGTTCAAAGTGATACAAGAAAGTATTAAAAGGAAAAAAAAAAAAAAAAAAAAAGTGAAACAGATTTTACTCGGTGATTCTTATATTGGGCAATAAATGACAATAATTAGAGATAGATATTTGTACTTTCGTCAAGAAATTCAGTTTTTTTTTCTTTTTTTTTTTTAATTTTAAACAAGAAAAAGAAAACGAGAGCGGACGACAAAAAGTTCAAAAAACGATTGCTTAAAATGGCGGAGTGTCATTATGTAATACTCCTATGCTTACGTGCGTCTTTGTGGCACCTGAAATAAATCGTCTGTAAACTCTTGCTCAATATTTGAAAAAAAAGAAAAAAAAAAAATTCTTTTACAAAAATTGAACAAATTACAGTGAAAATTTCTTTTCAAATCGAATTTTTATGTTTTTAATTTTATAATATTAAATTATACGGACGGGACAGACAGACAAAAAATTTAAATTTTTTTAAAATTGCGGAAATCGAAGAATTTTTCCTAGAAATTATTTCTTTTAAAGAAAAATTTTTGGGTAATATAAGAGCGAGATTACGTAAAAAAGATTTTTTTTAAAAAAAACTCAAATTTATAGGCAGTAAAAAAAAAAGATCATTGTCAAAAAAAAAATTGTGCAACGCGAACATTGTAAAAATATATAATTTTAAAAGGCCTTTTGAAGGTAATTTTGTCCCTTGAAATATTTTTTTCAGACATTTTTAAATATCCTAAAGTTTTTTTTTAGTACAATATGGTGTAAATGCGAAAATCATTTCAAAAGGGACATTTGCAAAATTTTTTTTGTTTTTTAATTAACAATTTATGAAAAATATAAAAATTTCTAAAAATTGAGAATGTATTTTTTTTTCATTTGCTAGAGACCAAAAAAAAAATGAGCTAAAAGGTAAAGTTTTGGAAATTTTTCTTAAAAGGGGGTCTCTCTCTCTCTCTTTGCGACAAGAAAGCTTATAGCAATATAATATAGCTTTTGCCTTTTCTTCAGTATTATGGAAAAAAGAATATTTTCTCAATTTATGACGGGGTCATTAATGTAAATGTTTCGGTCATTTCGACCATTTTCCAGGGCGTATGGTTCCCCCCGCAGGTAGAGTTATATATCAGTGCGTGTTGCCGCACGGTCAAAATTTCCCGGATTGTGTGTGCGCGCTTTTCAATGTACAAAAAGAAAAGGAAAAATTTTTTTTTTTTTTTTCTCGGGGGGCCCCTCCACACAAATCCCGCAATAAAATTCCCACGCGCCAAAAAAAAATTGCAAGAAGGGTCTTTAAAAACAGTTTTTTTTCTCTTCATTTTAAATCCAATGCAAACAATTTTTTTTTTTGCCATCCAAAAATAAGATATTTTACTAAAAAAAAAAAAAGTAATAAAATTTTTCGGAAAAATATAGAAAAAAATATTTAATCCTGAAAAAGGATTTTTTGAAAAAATTGTGGGAATTAAAAAAAAATGTTATAATAATGAAAAGAGAGGGAAATTTATTTATTTATCCCGCAGTCCATTTTGGACGATAAATAAATAATAATTGTAATAATAATAGAAAAAAATACTTAAAAGTAGAAATAATAAAAATTATAAAAAATAAAAAAAAGTAATAAAATTTGTACCTTGAAATGAATATCCGGTAAAGCATGGCCGCATCATCGAAAAATTAGTAGTGACCGTCATTTCACAATTTTCAAAGGCCACTGGCGCAGAATTGGTGATTTTTCTCCCCTTTCTTCTTTTTTTTTCAAAAAGAAAAACACAAATCCAAAAAAAAAAATGGGATATCTCCCACACCTTAAGTTCACGTTACACTTAATTTCCTTGTTTTTTTTTTTATCCCCCTTTAAATTTCGGGCACAAGTCTTCAAAATTTTCTTTCACTCTTCTCACCAAAAAAAAAAAAAAATCGAAATATTCTAAAAAGGTGACTTTTATATTTTTAAAATGCCACTAATATCCAGTTGTTTCTTTCTTTCTTTTTTTTTCGACTCCGAACTGAGCAGAGAATTTACACCGAACGAAATTCAGAGCCTGACTGAAGTATGAGAAGCGCGAACGTAAGGATCTAAAGTTTGTACCAAGGTTTTTGAAGCCACACCTCCGCGTAAATAATTCGATGGCTAAAAGTGGGGCCCAATGAATTTTTGTCTAAACGCCTCTGGTGAAAACAGGTTTTGTAAAGGTGTAAAATTATTGCGACCAATTGCAAAGAGATGAGGGCGTTAAATGGGAGGAGTAAACTTGTTAGGGGGCGATGGTAGAGGAGTGGGGGACGCTTACTCTGATGATCCACAAGTGTTGGGCGTACAGTACACGTATTATCGTATATATATATATATATATATGTATATGTACATAGGATATATTATTTCATTTTCCCGACGGAATCGCTTCCATTTTGCTGGCGAATGGATTCGCACCGCCTACGACAAATAATAATAATAATAATAATGACACTATGATTTAGAGGCTTTAGATCATGATTATTGGTTCAATGGCCTGGCTCTCAATCTCAATTTAGAATTACAAAAAAATTTGAATAATTTTTTTTTTCTTTCTTTACGATATATTTGTAATTTTTAATCAAAATCCGTCTGTTCGTCGTCCGTAATAAGTTAAAAATAAAATTGTCTATTTATTAGTGAAAAAAAAAACTCAAGAAAAATTATATTTAAAGTGGAAAAATTATATTTTCTATTTGGAAAAAATTGTCAAAAAATTTTTAAAGGTGGAAAATTGAATGTGAAGTACTTTATCGAGTTTGAAAATAATATTAAAAGTGGAAAATTTTCATGTTTGTATATTAAAACTTAAAAGTGGAAAATTAAAAATTATCGTGAAGGTGGGAAAATAAAATTATAGACGTGGAAACTTATTTTGTAATTGGAAAAACTATGTTGTAAATTTTTAAAGGTGGAAAATTAAACGAACAGTAGAAAATTATTAGGTGGAAAATCGCACATTACCAAGTAGAAAATTTTCATGTGTATAATAAAAGAAAGAAAATTATTTTCTAGCTGGAAACTTTTGTTAAATATATAAAGGTTGAAAATTGTAAGAGAAGTACAAATTTATCTACTTGGAAAATAATATATTAAAAGTGGAAAATTGAAAATTATATTGAAGGTGGGAAAATAAAATTGTAAGTGGAAAACTATTTCGTAGTTGGAAAATCTAAGTTATAAATTTTTAAAGGTGTAAAATTTAAACATAATGTTGAAAATTATTAGGTGGAAAATCGCATATTAAAAGTGGAAAATTGTATGGAAAGATGAAAATTATCTTGAAGGTAAAAAAAATAAAATTGTAGGTGGAAAACTATTTCGTAGTTAGAAAAACAAACTTGTAAATTTTTGTAGGTGGAAAATTGAACGAACAGTAGAAACATTATCTTGAAGGGAAAATAAAATTGTAGGTGGAAAACTATTTCGTAGTTGGAAAAACTCCCTTGTAATATAATTCATTAAAGATGGAAAATTGAACGAACAGTAGAAAATTAGGTGGGAAATCGCATATTAAAGGTGGAAAATTTTTGTGTGTATAATAAAAGGAAGAAAATTATTTAGATTGTGGAAAATTATATTTGCAATAGAAAAATTATTTTCTAGTTGGAAAATCTTGTTGAATATTTAAAGGTGGAAAATTAGATAAGAAATACAAATTTAACTAGTTGGAATATAGTATATTAAAAGTGGAAAATTTCATGGAAAGTTAAAAAATTATTTTAAAGGTAGGAAAATAAAATTTTAGGTGAAAAATTATTTTTCAAACCTTCTACGCCATTTTCTACATTCAATGTGATTTTTCAACGAGATAATTTTCCACCTATCAAGCGAATTGCAAAAAAAAATTTTCAACTACGAAATCATTTTCCACTTAAAATTTTATTTTCCTACCTTCAAAGATATAATTTTACACTAAGATAATTTTTAACCTTCATACAATATTTTCCACTTTCATTATATAAACGAAAAAAAATTTCCACCTTAAATATGATTTCCCACCTAATAATAATTTTCCACTTTTCGTACAATTTTCCATCTTTAAAAACTTAATAGAAAATTTTTTCAACTTCGCAATAGTTTTCCACATATATAATTTTATTTTCCCACCTTCAAGATAATTTTATACAAATATTTTCAACTTTCCATATAATTTTCCACTTTTAATACATACACGATAATTTTCGAATGATTTTTCAACTATAAATAAATTTGTACTTCTCTTTCAATTTTCCACCTTTAAATATTTACAACAAAATTTTCCAAATAGAAAATAATTTTTTTTACCTTAAATATAATTTTCTACTATAAAAATAATTTTCTTTTTTCATTATATACACGAAAATTTTCCACCTGATAATTTTCTACTTTTTGTTCAATTTTCCATGATTAAAAATTTATAAGTTAGTTTTTTCAACTACGAAATTGCAGTTTTCCACCTACAATTTTATTTTCTTACCTTCAAGATAATTTTCATCTTTCCATACAATTTTTCACTTTTAATATGCAATTTTCCACCTGATAATTTTCTACTTTTCGTTCAATTTTCCACCTTCAAAAAATTTACGAGTTCATTTTTTGGTAGCAAATTTTCTTGCATAATTTAGGAAAAATATTTTCAAACATAAATCTCTATTTAATGATGAAAAACTATTTTGTAGGTGGGAAATTCTCTTTTAATTCAATAAAAAATTTGTAGGTAGAAAATTTACTTTCTGGAAAATCCTATCGTTGGTGGAAATTTCGTTTCGTATATCTTGAAAGTAGAAAATTATCTAGATAGGCGAAAAAAATATTTTAGGAAAAAATTTTCTGGTAATTTACCAAAATAATATATGTTAAAAAGTGAAAAACTATATCTTTGAGGTGGGAAAATTGTTCCAAGGTAGGGAAAAATTATCTCGTAGTTGGAAAATTGTCTTGGAAATATGTATTAAAAGTTTGTCTAAAAAAAAAAAAATTGAAAATTATTTTTTCGTGAAAAATTCCATTATTTAAATGTGGAAAATCATATTGTAAGTGGAAAATTATTTAAAATGTGAAACTTTGTTTTTTGTATTGAGGTGAAAAACTATATATCGAAAATGGAAAAGTATCTAAAAAAAATTTCTTACATTATTTTCTACATTCTTGCGTTTATATATATATAGCTTTTCTTATTTTTTTTTTCAATAGAAAAAAAAGAATGTAATTACGATTTAGTTTTCTAAGAAAATAACCTTTTTTAAGTCTTCATTGTTGATTCCTCCTATAACCTTAATTTAAAAAACAAAAGTGTTTATATACTGAAATGGTATACGATTTCACTGTTTTTTTTTTTTTTTTTTTTTTTTTTATGACTTAAGGTCATGTTACACACCTATGAGTTTTTTTATGTGAGCGCAATGAAAATATATCATGTAAGATTATTCTTAAATGGACGTGAATTTTTCAATAATATTTTAGGAGATGAAACAGAGCATATTTATTTATGGATTTCTGGTATTTTTTTTATATTTAAAAAAAAAATTTTTTTTTGGTTATTGTTATTGATGAGATTTTTATTCGCGAGATATCTCTTGAACGGACAGAAATTTTAGAAAAATATTTTAGATTATTGAAGAGGACATATTTATCTAAGGCTCCGTGGTATTTATTTTATATTGAAAAAAAAAAATAATTATAAATTTTATTGATTGAACCTTGTGGTTTGAAAATATCTATGGTAAATGACCGACAAATATACAAAGTTTTGGATTTTCTTAAGATTTTTTATAAATGATAAAATATTTTGAAGAGAAATTTACAGGGATGATAAAGGGCTTCTTCATATAAAGATTCCTGGTTGTTTTGCATGATTTTGTTGAAAAAAGTTATTTATCAATTTTATTGATTGAACACGAACTGTGAAAATGGCGAGAGTTATCGATCGATATATAAGTAGATTTGAATTTCGTAAGATATCTTGTAAATGGTAAAATATTTAGGAAAGATATTTTCAGTAATAAAAAAAGGCATCTTCATAAAAGGATTTCTAGTTATTTTGTAAAACTTTGTTGAAAAAAATTTTGTTTATTATAAACATGTAATTATCAAGATTCTGGAATATGAGTTCAGCGCCTCTAGTGGGCATCGACGCAAGCGGTCGGTAAAACTACTAAAATAAATAAAAAGCAGTGAAATGTATTGAGTATTTTTTTATGCTGAACAAGATTTTTATGGTTAAATAATTTTTTGAACATCAGTCTTATAAATAAATTTATAAATAATTTGTTTTGCAAAAAATAAAATATGAAATTTATAACTTTAGTTTAAACGACTTGATGATATCCTAGAGGTCTGAAAATTTATGCACCTTTAGAACTGACAACCACACAATAATCCGTGGTTAATTTTTACATACATAACCAGGTTGTCGATGATGAGTATACTTATGGATCATCTCCGAAAATTCAGCTAGAATTTATTAATGGTTTTAGCATTCATATGTGAGGTTTGAGAAAATATTCTAACACTTGGACAACCAGGTCGCTGATGACGGATATACCTAGAGATCATCTTCGAGAATTTAGGTCTAAAATTTCGTTAATTTTGAAAAATTTATAAGTTTTTCATTTTTTGTTATAAGCAAAAATTTCAAGAGTGATTTTTGTCTTAGAATTACTTATTATATTTTAATTAAAAAAAATTTTTGAAATAAAAAATTAAAAAAACATTTTTTTTATACAAATTTTTTTTAACATTTTGGGACTAGTTGCATTGTATTTGTAGAATCTTAGACTATAAGAAACAGTCATAGAAAATCAATTTTTTGGTTGATAAGACCGTTTTCTCAGACCCAGTCACATATGATTGGCGAGATTTTTGTTTGAGAAGTTTTGTTACTAATTATTTATAAGACATTATATTATAGGTTATAGGTCAAATAGTAAAAACAATTTAAAAATTTTTTTCCTTTATTATAACATATTTAAGTGTCCATTAACACTTACATATTACAAATCAAATAGTGAAAATTTTCCGCAAGATTATAAAAAACCAATTTTAATCAAATAAAGTAAAATATTCATGGAAGCTTAATGCCATTCCAACATAATCAAAAAGGATTCTATGATTTTTTCAAATTTATTTTTCATGCTGCTTATGAGACATGAATTTTCTAACATTTCAGAATTCAATTTTTTTTAAATTTTTAATGATTATAAATTTAATTTTTTTTTAAATATATCAATTAAATAATATTTTTAAAATTATTTTCACGTCAATTTTTCAGTTATTCGATGCAAAAATTCCAGAAAAATAATTTTCTATATTTTTTCAATTTAAACAATCGAATTTTATTTTTAAATCTGTACCCTTTTATTTTTTTGAAATTTTAAAACTTTTTAAAAATTCCGAAAATATTTACAAAATGTTTCAAATTTTTCAAAAAAAAGTCGACTTATACAGTTTAAAAAATAAAATTTTAATGGAATTATTTAAGTGAATTATTTTTCTGGAATTTCTGCATCAAATTTTAGAAAGGTTCTCGTAAAAAATCATAATTTTAAAAAAGCTTTTAATGTTGTATTTTTAAAAAAATGTTATATGAATTCAAAAAGAAAAAATCACTGAAATTTGTATCTTGCAACATAATCAAAAAGGATTCTATGATTTTTTCAAATTTGTTTTTCATGCTGCTTATGAGATTTGAATTTTCTAAAATTTCAGAATTCAATTTTTTTTTATTTTTAATGATTATAAATTTAATTTTTTTTTTAAATATATGTGACCTGGACAGTTAAAAGGGACCTTTTGTCCGAAAAAATTAATTTTTTATTGATTGGTGATTCTGATAGAGAAAACTTTTTTTTATCAGAATCACCAATCAATAAAAAATTAATTTTTTCGGACAAGAGGTCCCTTTTAACTGTCCAGGTCATATATCAATTAAAAAATATTTTTAACATTATTTTCACGTTAATTTTTCAGTTATTCGATGCAAAAATTCCAAAAAAATAATTTTCTATATTTTTTCAATTTAAACAATCGAATTTTATTTTTAAATCTGTACCCTTTTATTTTTTTGAAATTTTAAAACTTTTTAAAAATTCCGAAAATATTTACAAAATGTTTCAAATTTTTCAAAAAAAAGTCGACTTATACAGTTTAAAAAATAAAATTTTAATGGAATTATTTAAGTGAATTATTTTTCTGGAATTTCTGCATCAAATTTTAGAAAGGTTCTCGTAAAAAATCATAATTTTAAAAAAGCTTTTAATGTTGTATTTTTAAAAAAATGTTATATGAATTCAAAAAGAAAAAATCACTGAAATTTGTATCTTGTAAACATTTTGAAAAAATTTTTTGTAAAAAATCATAGATCCCCTTTGGGTAAGGTACAAATAATAATAATAATATTGTATTACGCTACTGTTTAGAATTGAGCCTCCCAATTCTATATACGGGCGATTCACGATTCGCCGCCAACTCATCCCCGTGTACCTGCTCAGCGGCAAATTTTCGTCCCCGTATGTTCCCCCACTACCGGCCGTACTGTACCCCTCCGTTCAGTCTGACTGCATGTTTTTTTTTTTTTTTTTTTTTTGAAAACAATTGAATTTTCTTTGATTTTGAATTGAAATTTTGGATAATAATTTAATTTTAAATGATTTTTAATTGAAATTTTGGGTAACAATTGAATTTTATTTTAAATTAAAAATTTTTGAAAATAATTAAATTTTCTTTGATTTTGAATTGAAACTTTGGATAATAATTGAATTTTAATTGATTTTGAATTGAAATTTTGGGTAACAATTGAATTTTATTTGACTTTAAATTGAAAATTTTTGAAAATAATTCAATTTTATTGCGATATTTTTTTAAAATTATAAACAACTGTTAAATTTCATAAAAATTTTATTTGAAAAATAATTTTGAAATAATTGAATTTGTGATGAATTTCATTAAAATTATTAAAAATAATTAATTTAATGAAGAATTATTTTAGTTCAAAATTTGTTAAATAATTGAATTGAAGAAAATCTGAAGAAGATCTACATTTTATACTAAAAAAATGTATTTTATTAAAATTTTTTTTTTAATGTAAAAAAAAGTCGAAAAAATTGCGGTCTGACTGAACGGAGGGGTACAGTACGGCCGGTAGTGGGGGAACATACGGGGACGAAAATTTGCCGCTGAGCAGGTACACGGGGATGAGTTGGCGGCGAAAAGTGGTCTGCCCCTATATACACATACATATGGTTGCTTAACTAATATTGACTTCGCGCATTTTTACTCCTGTCCCTCTGCCGTTCGGTTTCCCTGGTTATTTGCATTTCTCTTTCCCTCTCACGTTCTCTTTCCCTTTCTCTTTCACGTTCTCTATCTCTATCTCTTTCTCTCTCTAAATTACGTAGGTTTAATTTTACTATATTCATTTCCTTGTCCAGGTCATTCATTCTTCTCTCCAATCTCTCGAACTTTCTATGTGGCTAAAACAAATAATTAAACAAATATTATTGACTTCATATTTATTCGAAATAAAAAAAAAGTTTTACTAAAAAAACAACTTTTGTTTTAAAATTATTATTTATTGTTTCTAGAGGCTACCAAAAAGAAATTTGTAATTTTTTGCGGCGCCCTCATTCACAGTATTATAATACTTAGTATTTTTAAAATTATTTCTCGTTATTTTTTGAAGAAAAAAAATGTTTTCAAAACAAACAAATATATTATTGAAATAATAAAACTAGATTTAAACATAAGTAAGAAAAATTCTGGTTTGGCGTAAAATTCCCAAATAAATGCCGGTTAGTAGATACTCTCACTGAAAGAAAATATTTACTAAATTCCAATAATTACAATAGAATTTTTAGTAAATATTTTTCAATTTAGGGAGAAAGTGTCAAAATAAGAAGTGTTGGTATAAAAAGTAAAAAATATATTTCAATTTTAAATAATTTTTTTTTCAAATCGTAGTGAATATTTATGAACTTTAATAAAAAAAATTAAAATTCTACAAACTGTTTGCTAAGATTTTTATTTTTTTTGTTTGCTATTTTCTATATCAATATTTCACATTTTGACACGTACCGTCGACCCTTTAAATTCGGCCGATAAATTTTATAGGTTACAATAAACACTTAAACACCGTTCGCAAAATTTTGCGCATTTTTTAAAATTAAAAAAAATAATAAAATTTTTAAAAATTATTTTTTTTTCATTTTTTATAGTGAAATATGATTTAAGGTTTCAAAAAAATGAAAAAAAATAATTTTTAACAATTTTTTTCCTTTTTTTTGAGCCCGAAATCATATTTCACTATGAAAAATGAAAAAAAAAATTTTTTTTTAAATTTTCAAAAATGCGCAAAAACCTGCGCGCGTTATTTAAATGTTTTTTTAAATCTGTAAAACTTATCGGCCCACTCTAAATTTTTTCGCAAAATCTTAGTATTTCCAGGTATGTTTAAAAAAAATCATATTCAAATTAAAAAAAATAAATTTGTTTATAAAAAATTGTTTTTTTTAATAAAAAAAGAAAAAAAATTTTTTGTTAATATTATTGAAAAGTAAAAGAAAAACTGAAACTTTTCCTCTCTTAGCAAAAATTGAAAAAATACATTTTTTCGAATTATCAGTCATTGAAAATAGGTCTACATTGAAAAAACTGAAATTATGAAAATTCATAACTCGAAAATTTTTTAAAAAAAATAGGTATCCCTTTTTTTACTACAGAACAAGAAAAAAATATATTTGCCCAAATTTAAAGGGTCGACGGAAATCTCACGTGAAATCGCCTATACTTTCTTTCAGCGATAAAAAAGAAACGGCACTACAGATGGCACAGCAAAAAATACAAATTTTACACTTTAACTTTGACGATCTCTGAAAACAGTAAACACTTATTTACAAGAAAAAGATTATTATTTTGTTTAGTTAAAATATTATATTTTCAAGTGTAAAAAGTTTGTATTAAATGAACAATAAAGCTACAAACCATTTGTTGCGACGTTTGCTGATATTTTGATAAGTGCGACGACTGCTGTTGCATTGGATACTGTAACGGTTGCTGTTGCAGTGGAATCTGTGTCGCATCCTGTTGCAACGGAAAGTGCGATGGTTGCTTTTGTACTGCATACTGCAACGGTTGCTGGTGCAGTGGAAACTGTAACGGTTGCTGTTGCGGTGAAAACTGTGACTGTTGCGGTGGAAATTGCGATGGTTGCTGTGGTGGAGGAAAGTGCGATTGTTGCTGTGGCGGTAGAAACTGTGACAGTTGCAACTGTGATGGTTCCTGTTGCGGAGGAAACTGTGACGCTTGCTGTTGCACTGCATACTGCAACGATTGCTGTTGCAGTGAAAACTGTGACGGTTGCTGTGGCGGTGAAAAGTGTGACGGTTGCTGTTGCGGTGGAAACTGTGACGGTTGTTGCGGTGGAAACTGTGACGGTTGCTGTTGCAGCGGAATCTGTGCTGGTGCCTGATTTAGCGGAGTTTGTGGTGGTGGCTGCTGTTGCGGCGAAAATTGTGCTGGTGCCTGATGTAGCGGAGTTTGTGGTGGTGGCTGCTGTTGCGGCGAAAATTGTGGTGGTTGTGGAATTCCATTGGGGTTGATGGACGGTGAACCATCCTGCTTCAATAATTGAAAACAAAATCATTGTTTAAACCAGTTTTCAATTGAAAATTCAATAAGATTCAATTGTCTAAATTTTTAAAAATATTTCACTTCTTTAAAATAAATGTTTCAATTAATAATCTCCTGAAATTCAATTATTTTCAAAAAATTTAACAATTGCTCTTCCAGAACTCAATTATTTCAAAAAATTTCAATTTTCAATTTTTTTTGGGTACTAATTATTTCTAATAAGTTTAATTAAGTTTTTCAAAAATTTAACGTTTTTTAATTACTAATTTTTTTAAATTTAATTTTTATTTATATAATTTTTAAAAAATTTCAATAAATTAAGTTCATTAAAATTTTAATTGAAAATTTCTAAGATCGAAAATTTAAATATTAAAACATTTTTCAAATAAAAATTCTCTATAATTAAATTATTTTTAAAAATTGAATAACCCGATTAAAAAAGGGCATATAATCCATTTGAATTACATTAGTTATATGCCCTTTTTTGATCCGGTAGACCAATTTTATTTAAAATTCTTCGCTAAATTAATTTTTATTAATTACATTAATAAAAAAATTATCGCATATTTTTCTTTAAAATATTCTTATTGAGGAATTAATAAATTTTATGTAATATCTAATAACAAAATATTTAGTATAATAAAATATTTATCAAGTAATAATAATAACATAATATTTTAAAATTGACTACTGCGACTTACGTTTGAAGATGGTTCTCCCTTGGATTTTCTACTGCCACTACGCCTTGTGTGCATCGTGAATTAAAAAAACTACAAAAAAATTTCTGTATTAATTATTTGATAGAAAAAAATTGGGAAGTTAGATATTTTAAAGATAACACTTTTAAGAGCGTAAAAACCTGCAATAAAATTTTTCACGACTTTTATTTTTTTATTAGTTAATTCTATTATATTTCATCTGAAGTCCTTTCATCCTATTTTTAAAAAAATCTGATATTTCGTAATAATGAATATTAATATCTGTATGTATTATATAATATCTATATATTATCTGTATATCCGCGTGAAAATCGAAGTATGGGAAAAAACCATCAAAAGCCAGCAAAGTTAGGGAAAAATTTTTAACCAAACTTATCAGATTTTTCGCAAACATTGGAAAAAACTCAAGCCTAAGAAGAAATAATTTTTTCTCATTTTTTTACTTTTTAAAATTAGTTTTTCAAAAAAACGGAAAAATTAGGAAAAATTCGGGGCCTAGAAAAATTCATTTTTTTCATTTTTTACTTTACAAAAATTAGTTTTTCAAAGTAGGGGAAAATTTGGGATAAATTCGGGGCCAAGAAAAATTAATTTTAGAAAGTAAAAAAAAAGGAGAAATGAATTTTTCTTGGCTCCGAATTTTCCCGTACTTTGAAAAACTAATTTTAAAAAGTAAAAAATGAAAAAAATGAATTTTTCTTGACCGCGAATTTTTCCCAAATTTTCCCGTACTTTGAAAAACTAATTTTAAAAAGTAAAAAATGAAAAAAAATTAATTTTTCTTGTCCCCGAATTTTCCCAAATTTTCCCGTACTTTGAAAAACTAATTTTAAAGAGTAAAAAATAAAAAAAAATTGAATTTTTCTTGGCCCCAAATATTCACAAATTTTCCCGTACTTTGAAAAACTAATTTTAAAAAGTAAAAAATAAAAAAAAATGAATTTTTCTTGGCCCCAAATATTCACAAATTTTTCCGTACTTTGAAAAACTAATTTCAAAAAGTAAAAAATGAAAAAAAATGAATTTTTCTTGTCCGTGAATTTTATCAAAATTTTCCAGTACTTTGAAAGACAAATTTTTAAAAGTAAAAAAATGAGAAAAAATTAATTTTTCTTGGCCCCGATTTTTCCCAAATTTTTCCGTACTTTGAAAAACAAAGTTTTAAAAGTAAAAAAAATGAGAAAAAATGAATTTTTCTTGGCCCCGAATATTCACAAATTTTTCCGTTTTTATTTCATAGAAATAAAAATTTTACGAATTTTTAAATTGACGTTTCAGGAAATTATTTTATTTTTCTATCAATGTTATAATTCATGATATGTAATAGACTAGCACAAGCTATAAAATAATGTTTTTATTGTCAAAAAATCATTTTTTTGTTCTTGAGTAGAAACATTTAGAATACTATTTAATTCCAGAAATAATAACTCTGAACTATTCCTCAACAAACCAAACCTAATTCTTAATTTTACAAATTCAACATTTTTTGAGAAATTTCCTGTTATCTAAAGTTGTAGAGGTAAAATATATTTTTGAATTTTTAAAAATTACCAAAATAAGTTTTTTTGAAAAAAAATAGAAGAAAATAAAAATCATATGGATAAAAACTTTTTTCTGAATTTATAAATTTAATTTTCCAGATTATGGTTTAATTATTTTTCTAAAGAAAAATAATTTTTTTTGTGTTTGAGTTGAAACATTTAGAATAATATTTACTTCCAGAAATAATAACTCTGAACTATTCCCCAACAAACTAACCTAATTCTTAATTTTACAAATTCAACATTTTTTGAAAAATTTCCAGTTATCTAAAGTTGTAGAGGTAAAATATATTTTTGAATTTTTAAAAATTACCAAAATAAGTTTTTTTAGAAAAAATTTGAGGTAGATAAAAATCATAGAGATGAAACCTTTTTTCCGAATTTATAAATTTAATTTTCAAGATTATGGTTTAATTATTTTTCTGAATAAAAATAATTTTTTTTGTGCTTGAGTAGAAACATTTAGAATAATATTTAATTCCAGAAATAATAACTCTGAACTATTCCTCAACATACCCAACCTAATTCTTAATTTTACAAATTCAACATTTTTTGAAAAATTTCCTGTTATCTAAAGTTGTAGAGGTAAAATATTTTGTTTTAAATTTTTAAAAATTACCAAAATAAGTTTTTTTAGAAAAAATTTGAAGTAAATAAAAATCATAGGGATGAAACCTTTTTTCTGAATTTATAAAATTAATTTTCAAGATTATGGTTTAATTATTTTTCTAAATAAAAATAATTTTTTTTGTGCTTGAGTAGAAACAATTAGAATAATATTTAATTCCAGAAATGATAACTCCGAATTATTCCTCAAAAAAATAACCTAATTTTTACTTTTACAAATTCAAAATTTTTTGAAAAATTTGCATTTATATAAAGTCGTAGAGGTAAAATATATTTTTGAATTTTTAAAAATTACCAAAATAAGTTTTTTTGAAAAAAAATAGAGAAAATAAAAATCATATGGATAGAACCTTTTTTCTGAATTTATAAATTTAATTTTCAAGAATATGGTTTAATTATTTTTCTAAATAAAAATAATTTTTTTTGTGCTTCAGTTGAAACATTTAGAATACTATTTAATTCCAGAAATGATAACTCTGAACTATTCCTCAACAAACCTAACCTAATTCTTAATTTTACAAATTCAACATTTTTTGAAAAATTTGCATTTATATAAAGTCGAAGAGGTAAAATATTTTTTTTTGAATTTTTAAAAATTACCAAAATAAGTGTTTTAAGAAAAAATTTGAAGTAAATAAAAATCATAGGGATGAAACCTTTTTTCTGAATTTATAAATTTAAATTTCAAGATTATGGTTTAATTATTTTTCTGAATAAAAATAATTTTTTTTGTACTTGAGTAGAAACATTTAGAATAATATTTAATTCCAGAAATGATAACTCTGAATTATTCCTCAACAAACTAACCTAATTCTTAATTTTACAAATTCAACATTTTTTGAAAAATTTCCTGTTATCTAAAGTTGTAGAGGTAAAATATATTTTTGAATTTTTAAAAATTACCAAAATAAGTTTTTTTAGAAAAAATTTGAGGTAGATAAAAATCATAGAGATGAAACCTTTTTTTTGAATTTATAAATTTAATTTTCAAGAATATGGTTTAATTATTTTTCTAAATAAAAATAATTTTTTTTGTGCTTCAGTTGAAACATTTAGAATAATATTTAATTCCAGAAATGATAACTCTGAACTATTCCTCAACAAACCTAACCTAATTCTTAATTTTACAAATTCAACATTTTTTGAAAAATTTGCATTTATATAAAGTTGTAGAGGTAAAATATTTTGTTTTAAATTTTTAAAAATTACCAAAATAAGTTTTTTTAGAAAAAATTTGAAGTAAATAAAAATCATAGGGATGAAACCTTTTTTCTGAATTTATAAAATTAATTTTCAAGATTATGGTTTAATTATTTTTCTAAATAAAAATAATTTTTTTTGTGCTTGAGTAGAAACAATTAGAATAATATTTAATTCCAGAAATGATAACTCCGAATTATTCCTCAAAAAAATAACCTAATTTTTACTTTTACAAATTCAAAATTTTTTGAAAAATTTGCATTTATATAAAGTCGTAGAGGTAAAATATATTTTTGAATTTTTAAAAATTACCAAAATAAGTTTTTTTGAAAAAAAATAGAGAAAATAAAAATCATATGGATAGAACCTTTTTTCTGAATTTATAAATTTAATTTTCAAGAATATGGTTTAATTATTTTTCTAAATAAAAATAATTTTTTTTGTGCTTCAGTTGAAACATTTAGAATACTATTTAATTCCAGAAATGATAACTCTGAACTATTCCTCAACAAACCTAACCTAATTCTTAATTTTACAAATTCAACATTTTTTGAAAAATTTGCATTTATATAAAGTCGAAGAGGTAAAATATTTTTTTTTGAATTTTTAAAAATTACCAAAATAAGTGTTTTAAGAAAAAATTTGAAGTAAATAAAAATCATAGGGATGAAACCTTTTTTCTGAATTTATAAATTTAAATTTCAAGATTATGGTTTAATTATTTTTCTGAATAAAAATAATTTTTTTTGTACTTGAGTAGAAACATTTAGAATAATATTTAATTCCAGAAATGATAACTCTGAATTATTCCTCAACAAACTAACCTAATTCTTAATTTTACAAATTCAACATTTTTTGAAAAATTTCCTGTTATCTAAAGTTGTAGAGGTAAAATATATTTTTGAATTTTTAAAAATTACCAAAATAAGTTTTTTTAGAAAAAATTTGAGGTAGATAAAAATCATAGAGATGAAACCTTTTTTTTGAATTTATAAATTTAATTTTCAAGAATATGGTTTAATTATTTTTCTAAATAAAAATAATTTTTTTTGTGCTTCAGTTGAAACATTTAGAATAATATTTAATTCCAGAAATGATAACTCTGAACTATTCCTCAACAAACCTAACCTAATTCTTAATTTTAGAAATTCAACATTTTTTGAAAAATTTGCATTTATATAAAGTCGTAGAGGTAAAATATTTTTTTTTGAATTTTTAAAAATTACCAAAATAAGTGTTTTTAGAAAAAATTTGAAGTAAATAAAAATCATAGGGATGAAACCTTTTTTCTGAATTTATAAATTTAATTTTCAAGAATATGGTTTAATTATTTTTCTAAATAAAAATAATTTTTTTTGTACTTGAGTAGAAACATTTAGAATAATATTTAATTCCAGAAATGATAACTCTGAATTATTCCTCAACAAACTAACCTAATTCTTAATTTTACAAATTCAACATTTTTTGAAAAATTTCCTGTTATCTAAAGTTGTAGAGGTAAAATATATTTTTGAATTTTTAAAAATTACCAAAATAAGTTTTTTTAGAAAAAATTTGAGGTAGATAAAAATCATAGAGATGAAACCTTTTTTCCGAATTTATAAATTTAATTTTCAAGAATATGGTTTAATTATTTTTCTAAATAAATATAATAATTTTTTTTGTGCTGCAGTTGAAACATTTAGAATAATATTTACTTCCAGAAATAATAACTCTGAACTATTCCTCAACAAACCTAACCTAATTCTTAATTTTACAAATTCAACATTTTTTGAGAAATTTCCTGTTATCTAAAGTTGTAGAGGTAAAATATATTTCTGAATTTTTAAAAATTACCAAAATAAGTTTTTTTGAAAAAAATAGAAGAAAATAAAAATCATAGAGATGAAACCTTTTTTCTGAATTTATAAATTTAATTTTCAAGAATATGGTTTAATTATTTTTCTAAATAAAAATAATTTTTTTTGTGCTTCAGTTGAAACATTTAGAATACTATTTAATTCCAGAAATGATAACTCTGAACTATTCCTCAACAAACTAACCTAATTCTTAATTTTACAAATTCAACATTTTTTGAAAAATTTCCTGTTATCTAAAGTTGTAGAGGTAAAATATATTTTTGAATTTTTAAAAATTACCAAAATAAGTTTTTTTGAAAAAAATAGAAGAAAATAAAAATCATAAGGACACAGAAAATTAAAAGGCATTAAAATAAGCTGCAACGCTTATTATTTTAATCCAATTTTGCTTATTTTAATACCAAAATGGATTAAAATAAGCAAAATTGGATTAAAATAATAAGCGTTGCAGCTTATTTTAATGCCTTTTAATTTTCTGTGGATGAAACCTTTTTTCTGAATTTATAAAATTAATTTTCAAGATTATGGTTTAATTATTTTTCTAAATAAAAATAATTTTTTTTGTGCTTCAGTTGAAACATTTAGAATAATATTTACTTCCAGAAATAATAACTCTGAACTATTCCTCAACAAACCTAACCTAATTCTTAATTTTACAAATTCAACATTTTTTGAGAAATTTCCTGTTATCTAAAGTTGTAGAGGTAAAATATATTTCTGAATTTTTAAAAATTACCAAAATATGTTTTTTTGAAAAAAATAGAAGAAAATAAAAATCATAGAGATGAAACCTTTTTTCTGAATTTATAAATTTAATTTTCAAGAATATGGTTTAATTATTTTTCTAAATAAAAATGATTTTTTTTTGTGCTTCAGTTGAAACATTTAGAATACTATTTAATTCCAGAAATGATAACTCTGAACTATTCCTCAACAAACCTAACCTAATTCTTAATTTTACAAATTCAACATTTTTTGAAAAATTTGCATTTATATAAAGTCGTAGAGGTAAAATATGTTTTTTTGAATTTTTAAAAATTACCAAAATAAGTGTTTTTAGAAAAAATTTGAAGTAAATAAAAATCATAGGGATGAAACCTTTTTTCTGAATTTATAAATTTAAATTTCAAGATTATGGTTTAATTATTTTTCTGAATAAAAATAATTTTTTTTGTACTTGAGTAGAAACATTTAGAATAATATTTAATTCCAGAAATGATAACTCTGAATTATTCCTCAACAAACTAACCTAATTCTTAATTTTACAAATTCAACATTTTTTGAAAAATTTCCTGTTATCTAAAGTTGTAGAGGTAAAATATATTTTTGAATTTTTAAAAATTACCAAAATAAGTTTTTTTAGAAAAAATTTGAGGTAGATAAAAATCATAGAGATGAAACCTTTTTTCTGAATTTATAAATTTAATTTTCAAGAATATGGTTTAATTATTTTTCTAAATAAAAATGATTTTTTTTTGTGCTTCAGTTGAAACATTTAGAATACTATTTAATTCCAGAAATGATAACTCTGAACTATTCCTCAACAAACCTAACCTAATTCTTAATTTTACAAATTCAACATTTTTTGAAAAATTTGCATTTATATAAAGTCGTAGAGGTAAAATATGTTTTTTTGAATTTTTAAAAATTACCAAAATAAGTGTTTTTAGAAAAAATTTGAAGTAAATAAAAATCATAGGGATGAAACCTTTTTTCTGAATTTATAAATTTAAATTTCAAGATTATGGTTTAATTATTTTTCTGAATAAAAATAATTTTTTTTGTACTTGAGTAGAAACATTTAGAATAATATTTAATTCCAGAAATGATAACTCTGAATTATTCCTCAACAAACTAACCTAATTCTTAATTTTACAAATTCAACATTTTTTGAAAAATTTCCTGTTATCTAAAGTTGTAGAGGTAAAATATATTTTTGAATTTTTAAAAATTACCAAAATAAGTTTTTTTAGAAAAAATTTGAGGTAGATAAAAATCATAGAGATGAAACCTTTTTTTTGAATTTATAAATTTAATTTTCAAGAATATGGTTTAATTATTTTTCTAAATAAAAATAATTTTTTTTGTGCTTCAGTTGAAACATTTAGAATAATATTTAATTCCAGAAATGATAACTCTAAACTATTCCTCAACAAACCTAACCTAATTCTTAATTTTACAAATTCAACATTTTTTGAGAAATTTCCTGTTATCTAAAGTTGTAGAGGTAAAATATATTTTGGAATTTTTAAAAATTACCAAAATAAGTTTTTTTAGAAAAAATTTGAGGTAGATAAAAATCATAGAGATGAAACCTTTTTTCCGAATTTATAAATTTAATTTTCAAGAATATGGTTTAATTATTTTTCTAAATAAAAATAATTTTTTTTGTGCTTCAGTTGAAACATTTAGAATAATATTTACTTCCAGAAATAATAACTCTGAAGTATTCCTCAACAAACCTAACCTAATTCTTAATTTTACAAATTCAACATTTTTTGAAAAATTTGCATTTATATAAAGTCGTAGAGGTAAAATATATTTTTGAATTTTTAAAAATTACCAAAATAAGTTTTTTTGAAAAAAGTAGAAGAAAATAAAAATCATAAGGACACAGAAAATTAAAAGGCATTAAAATAAGCTGCAACGCTTATTATTTTAATCCAATTTTGCTTATTTTAATACCAAAATGGATTAAAATAAGCAAAATTGGATTAAAATAATAAGCGTTGCAGCTTATTTTAATGCCTTTTAATTTTCTGTGGATGAAACCTTTTTTCTGAATTTATAAAATTAATTTTCAAGATTATGGTTTAATTATTTTTCTAAATAAAAATAATTTTTTTTGTGCTTGAGTAGAAACAATTAGAATAATATTTAATTCCAGAAATCATAACTTCGAATTATTCCTCAAAAAAATAACCTAATTTTTACTTTTACAAATTCAACATTTTTTGAAAAATTTGCATTTATATAAAGTCGTAGAGGTAAAATATATTTTTGAATTTTTAAAAATTACCAAAATAAGTTTTTTTGAAAAAAATTAGAGAAAATAAAAATCATATGGATAGAACCTTTTTTCTGAATTTATAAATTTAATTTTCAAGATTATGGTTTAATTATTTTTCTAAATAAAATTAATTTTTTTTTGTGCTTGAGTTGAAATATTTAGAATAATATTTAATTCCAGAAATAATAACTCTGAACTATTTCTCAACAAACCTAACCTAATTCTTAATTTTACAAATTCAACATTTTTTGAAAAATTTTCATTTATATAAAGTTGTAGAGGTAAAATATATTTTTGAATTTTTAAAAATTACCAAAATAAGTTTTTTTGAAAAAAAATAGAAGAAAATAAAAATCATATGGATAAAACCTTTTTTCTGAATTTATAAATTTAATTTTCCAGATTATGGTTTAATTATTTTTCTAAAGAAAAATAATTTTATTGTGTTTGAGTTGAAACATTTAGAATAATTTTTAATTCCAGAAATGATAACTCTGAATTATTCCTCAACAAACTAACCTAATTTTTACTTTTACAAATTCAACATTTTTTGGGAAATTTGCATTTATATAAAAAAATGAGAAAAAATTAATTTTTCTTGGCCCCAATTTTTTCCAAATTTTCCCGTACTTTGAAAAACAAATTTTTAAAAGTAAAAAAATGAGAAAAAATTAATTTTTCTAGGCCCCCAATTTTTCCCAAATTTCCCCGTACTTTGAAAAACTAATTTTAGAAAGTAAAAAATTGAGGAAAAATGAATTTTTATTGTCCGCGAATTTTTCACAAATTTTCCCGTACTTTGAAAAACTAATTTTAAAAAGTAAAAAATGAATAAAATTGAATTTTTCTTGGCCCCGAATATTCACAAATTTTTCCGTACTTTGGAAAACTAATTTTAAAAAGTAAAAAATATATTTTTAAGGTTATATATCTAACCGACCTCAATTAATTTGTATATGAATATTTTAAAAATTAAAAAATTACTTACATTATATTTAATTATTAAACGCACAACGGCTTCCAGAGAGGCACTAAAACGCTGGATAAAACTGAACACGTGCTAAAGTAGAGAGAACAAATATGGGAAAAAGAAAAAAAAATTTTTAAATTAATTATCCGAAAATGGAAATAGAAAATAGAAAACAAAATATGATTATTGAGTGAAACTCATATCATCTTTTGTTTTCAATTTTACACTCACATTAAATTGATTTAATTTAATAAGAATAAAAAGGCAATATTACTTACGGATTAAAAGTGTAGACAGTCCAAAGAAAACTGAGAGTGTGAGATATTCATCGAAAATCACTATTGCCGTTGATGAGACGCGTGCCGCAGTGGAAAGGGAAGTGAGTGAGAGAGAAAGCTATACAATAATATACAGCACGTAAGCTTTAGAAAGAAGACCGGCCGGCAAGTTTGTTTTGATGTGACAAACGTTTAATAATTGACGCGTTCAAACTTGAAAGGTCGTAACATATACGGTTTTTTCAATTTAAGAACATATCAATATTTTCACAGTGAATTGTGACAGTGTCAACAGAGACTGGAGGATTATTATTTATTTTGTGTTGTGATAAAGTGCAAAATGGAAAAATCAAAAAAAGGACAGGAGACAAAAAAGGAACAATTAAACAAGTGTAACAAGAGGAAGAGTGGAAAATATAGAACAAGTGGAAGGAGATTGTCGATGACAAAAGCAGCAAGAATAAGGTCAGTAATTCTTAATGTAATTAATTATAATTTTCATTAATTGTTTCTGTATCGAAAGGCAATTTCTGCTTTGTTTACTAAGGTGAAAAATACGTTATTGGTTAAGAAAATATAACAGTTATGTAAAATAAATTTAAGCTTAAATATATTGTCTACAAATATTTAATTATCAGATAAATTTATTTTCCAAATGTCATTGGTTTTAACCTTACTAACAAAACAATAATTGCCATTTATACATTGACTTTGTATTATAAAGTATATATATATTTATTTTTGTGCTTGAGAAGAAGAATTAAGAATAATATTTAATTTCGAAAAATAAAAACTCTGAATTTTTTCTCAACAAAGTTAAGCTCATTTTACAAATTCAACTTTTATTAAAAAATTTTCAATTATTGAAAATCATGGAAATAAAATATATTTTGGAATTTTTAAAAATTATCAAGAAAAGATTTTTTGAAAAAATTTGAAATAAATAAAAATTTTATTACAAAATATATATTTTATATATATTATATAAAAAAATTTATATTTATTACATTAAATTAATTATTTATTATTAAATTAAATATTTATATATATATATATATATTTGAATATATAAAAATAAATAATCTATCACAAAAACTTTTTCTAAAAAATAATACTAAATCATTCTTTTGAAAAAAGGCAATTTTTTGTGCTTGAGTAGAAACATTTAGAATAATTTTTAATTCCAGAAATGACAACTCTGAATTATTCCTCAAAAAAATAACCTAATTTTTACTTTTAGAAATTCAACATTTTTTGAAAAATTTGCATTTATATAAAGTCGTAGAGGTAAAATATTTTTTTTTGAATTTTTTAAAAATTACCAAAATAAGTTTTTTTGAAAAAAAATGGAAGAAAATAAAATTCATAAAAATAAAAATTTTACGAATTTTAAAATTGACATTTCAGGAAATTATTTTATTTTTCTATCAATGTTATAATTCATGTTATGTAATAGACTAGCACAATCTATAACATAAATTTTTTTTGGTCAAAAAATAATTTTTTTTATTCTTGAGTAGAAACATTTAGAAGAATATTTAATTCGAGAAATAAAAACCCTGAATTTTTTCTCAACAAACCTAACGTAATTTTTTAATTCCAGAAATGAACGAAGCTAAAGTACGCAACGTTTATGTTAAACGATTTTTAAAGAAATAATTTTTAAAATGACAAATTTTATAATTTTTTGCCTAAAAAATATTTTTTTATAATTTGTTAATTAATGAAAACTATAAGAAATATTTTTTAGGCAAAGAATTATAGAATTTTTCATTTTAAAAAATTATTTTTTTAAGAATCGTTTATCATAAACGTTGCGTACTTCAGCTTCGTAGAAATGATAACTCTGAATTATTCCTCAATAAACTAACCTAATTTTCACTAAATAATATTTGGCTAAATAATAATTAGCAGTTATTGAAAATCGTAGAGGTATAATAAGTTTTGCAATTTTTAAAAATTACCAAAATAAGTTATTTTAGAAAAAATTTGAAGTAAATAAAAATCATAGGGATGAAGCCTTATTTCTGAATTTATAAATTTAATTTTCATGATTATGGTTTAATTATTTTTCTGAATAAAAATAATTTTTTTTGTGCTTGAGTAGAAACATTTAGAATAATATTTAATTCCAGAAATGATATCTCTGAATTATTCCTCAACAAACTAACCTAATTTTTAGTTTTACAAATTAAACATTTTTTGGAAAAATTGCATTTATATAAAGTTGTAGAGGTAAAATATTTTTTTTTGAATTTTTAAAAATTACCAAAATAAGTTTTTTTTTAGAAAAAATTTGAAGTAAATAAAAATCATAGGGATGAAACCTTTTTTCTGAATTTATAAATTTAATTTTTAAGATTATGGTTTAATTATTTTTCTAAATAAAAATAATTTTTTTTGTGCTTGAGTAGAAACAATTAGAATAATATTTAATTCCAGAAATGATAACTCCGAATTATTCCTTAAAAAAAACCTAATTTTCACTAAATAATATTTAATTCGAGAAATAAAAACCCTGAATTTTTTCTCAAAAATCCTAACCTAATTCTTAATTTTACAAATTTAATTTTTTTTGAAAAATTTTCAGTTATTGAAAATTGTAGAGGAATAATAAATTTTGCAATATTTAAATTTACCAAAATAAGTTTTTTTAGAAAAAATTTGAAGTAAATAAAAATCATATGGATAAAACCTTTTTTCTGAATTTATAAATTTAATTTTCAAGATTATGGTTTAATTATTTTTCTAAATAAAAATAATTTTTTTTGTGCTTGAGTTGAAACATTTAAAATAATTTTTAATTCCAGAAATGATAACTCTGAATTTTTCCTCAACAAACTAACATTTTTTTACTTTTAGAAATTCAACATTTTTTGAGAAATTTGCTAATATAGAAAGTCGTAGAGGTAAAATATATTTTGGAATTTTTAAATATTATCAAGGAAAGATTTTTTGAAAAAATTTGAAATAAATAAAAATTTTATTACAAAATATATATTTTATATGTATTATATAAAAAAATTTTTATTTATTACATTAAATTAATTATTTATTATTAAATTAAATATATATATATATATATATATATATATTTGAATATATAAAAATAAATAATCTATCACAAAAACTTTTTTTAAAAAATAATATTAAATTTTTTTTTTGAAAAAAGGCAATTTATTGTGCTTGAGTTGAAACATTTAGAATAATTTTTAATTCCAGAAATGACAACTCTGAAATATTCCTCAACAAACTAACCTAATTTTTACTTTTACAAATTCAACATTTTTTGAAAAATTTGCATTTATATAAAGTCCTAGAGGTAAAATATATTTTTGAATTTTTAAAAATAACCAAAATAAGTTATTTTAGAAGAAATGGAAAAAAATAAAATTCATAGAAATAAAAATTTTTCGAATTTTTAAATTGACGTTTCAGGAAATTATTTTATTTTTCTAACAATGTTATAATTCATGTTATGTAATAGACTAGCACAATCTATAACAAAAAGTTTTTTTTGTTCTTGAGTAGAAACATTTAGAATAATATTTAATTCGAGAAATAAAAACCCTGAATTTTTTCTCAACAAACCTAACCTAATTTTTTAATTCCAGAAATGAACGAAGCTAAAGTACGCAACGTTTATGTTAAACGATTTTTAAAGAAATAATTTTTAAAATGACAAATTTTATAATTTTTTGCCTAAAAAATATTTTTTTATAATTTGTTAATTAATGAAAACTATAAGAAATATTTTTTAGGCAAAGAATTATAGAATTTTTCATTTTAAAAAATTATTTTTTTAAGAATCGTTTATCATAAACGTTGCGTACTTCAGCTTCGTAGAAATGATAACTCTGAATTATTCCTCAATAAACTAACCTAATTTTCACTAAATAATATTTGGCTAAATAATAATTAGCAGTTATTGAAAATCGTAGAGGTATAATAAATTTTGCAATTTTTAAAAATTACCAAAATAAGTTATTTTAGAAAAAATTTGAAGTAAATAAAAATCATAGGGATGAAGCCTTATTTCTGAATTTATAAATTTAATTTTCATGATTATGGTTTAATTATTTTTCTGAATAAAAATAATTTTTTTTGTGCTTGAGTAGAAACATTTAGAATAATATTTAATTCCAGAAATGATAACTCTGAATTTTTCCTCAACAAACTAACATTTTTTTACTTTTAGAAATTCAACATTTTTTGAGAAATTTGCTAATATAGAAAGTCGTAGAGGTAAAATATATTTTGGAATTTTTAAATATTATCAAGGAAAGATTTTTTGAAAAAATTTGAAATAAATAAAAATTTTATTACAAAATATATATTTTATATGTATTATATAAAAAAATTTTTATTTATTACATTAAATTAATTATTTATTATTAAATTAAATATATATATATATATATATATATATATATATATATATATATATATTTGAATATATAAAAATAAATAATCTATCACAAAAACTTTTTTTAAAAAATAATATTAAATTTTTTTTTTGAAAAAAGGCAATTTATTGTGCTTGAGTTGAAACATTTAGAATAATTTTTAATTCCAGAAATGACAACTCTGAAATATTCCTCAACAAACTAACCTAATTTTTACTTTTACAAATTCAACATTTTTTGAAAAATTTGCATTTATATAAAGTCCTAGAGGTAAAATATATTTTTGAATTTTTAAAAATAACCAAAATAAGTTATTTTAGAAGAAATGGAAAAAAATAAAATTCATAGAAATAAAAATTTTTCGAATTTTTAAATTGACGTTTCAGGAAATTATTTTATTTTTCTAACAATGTTATAATTCATGTTATGTAATAGACTAGCACAATCTATAACAAAAAGTTTTTTTTGTTCTTGAGTAGAAACATTTAGAATAATATTTAATTCGAGAAATAAAAACCCTGAATTTTTTCTCAACAAACCTAACCTAATTTTTTAATTCCAGAAATGAACGAAGCTAAAGTACGCAACGTTTATGTTAAACGATTTTTAAAGAAATAATTTTTAAAATGACAAATTTTATAATTTTTTGCCTAAAAAATATTTTTTTATAATTTGTTAATTAATGAAAACTATAAGAAATATTTTTTA